ACTAGTCTTGAAAGCAGTCAGCCAGCTGCGAGTTTCTCTTTGCTTCCTCCTCATGGTCACCCTCTTCATTAAGACAGTTTTAATTGTACACGAAGATACCTTTGGCCTGTGAGCCACACCAAATGGCCTGCAAGCTGCGTGCTTTGCTCAGTGGAATTTACAGGCTGAATGACAATCTCAAGGTAAAAAGAGAAACTAAATCACAGCTGAGCTGACACTAGATGTGTTCTTTTCTAAGAAAATGGGCTTACCTTCATGCATATGAGAGACAACGCAGCCTGTCCCTGATTTCCCTTTGGATAAGGGATGCTTAAGAGAGAGGCGCAAGGTTTAAATCTCTCACCCGTCCAATAGTAGCATTAGCAATCCAATTGGAACAGAGATACTAACCTTTGATCTGAGGTTATTTGTCTCAATGCAGCTCATAATTCTGCGCAAAAATTACGGTAATAAATTTAACAAAGAAAAACGCTGCGCAAGTGAAAGTAATTGTCTGCAATATATTGGCACCCTGCCAGGAAAGGGAATAACAAAGGTTAAAAGATAATGTAATAAAAATAAAAAGGGGCCAGGGTAAATTTCCTTGCCATTGAGTCATTCGATTTCTGTCCATGTTCCCTAATGTCAAAATATTTAACAGATGTAGTTTAATAAAAGGATCAGCAGATTAAACACATATGCAATATATATAGAGAGAAGATACAAAACTATTTTGGGCCTGATCTTGCAAACGTTACAATACAAGTAGTCTCTGTGAGAATAACAGGAGTGAATCCTTTCTATGTTACTCTTAATAGAAAGCACACTTCACAGCACTTGTGACTATGGCAACTTTAAATTGTAGCATGGCATTTTGATTTCATTGGCAAAAAAACCCCTGTTTTAGTGATTATAAGAAGAGCTCTTATGCACTTAATACATTGTTCTAAAAATAAATAACTGTGAGCTGTGCCAAGAGGATATTATCTAGAATCAGTAATGTCATATATCCTGACTTTTCTAACTTTGTTTTCAGGTGGATATGTTGCTAACAGTCTAGCAATTATGACAGACGCACTTCATATGTTAACTGACCTTAGCGGTATTATTTTGACCCTGCTTGCTCTCTGGCTGTCTGCAAAATCTCCCACAAAGAGGTTCACTTTTGGATTTCATCGCTTAGGTACGTAGATACCAGCTTTTGCTATTAACAGAGTAAAGATCACCTAATTCTAGAAGAATAGGTAACTAGAAAGAAAGTAGCAACAAACCTGAAAATTGCTTTAACACCCTGTCTCGGATGTCCTTTCACTGGCTGCTACGTAGTGTAGTACATTGTGGATCCACTACCTAAGTTGTACTGCCACAAGGGAATAGATAATAAAAAAATAAATTTTTAAATTTTAAACCTCAGCCAAAAGTGAAGTTTGATGGCAGAGTTTCACTTCACTGGGAGCACGATGAGTCTCTCCATCTCTATGGAAATAGGGCTTAGCAGATTCAGGACTTCCTGCAAATGAACCATGGCCTGAAAACTTTAAAAAGGGTTTAGTGGAGGGAAGCTGTCCTCAGCAAGAACAAGGGTGGGTATGCAGTTGTTGCACAGTCCATCCAGAGTTGACTGGGCTGTTGCATTAGGTCAGGCTCCTGTGTGCCTTTGTGCTTTGGCACTCAGGCTGTTGAGCGAAGGAGGGGCAGATTCTTTGGTCACTCACTGCTTGTGTGACACACTGAGGAGCTTGCTGGTGCTGCAGGAGCTGTACGTGTCAGTCAGTTGTTATTCACAACAGATTATTGTCAGTGCACAGGATTTACAAAGCCCCACTGACTTCAGTAGAATTATGACACCGGAAAAGAGTCCTATTCAGTGTGAAAAATGATATCTTAATCCAGAACTAAGGAGTTCTATAGAGCCTATTATCAGAGTTCTGCCCTGCCAGAAGCTGCATAAATCAGTATTCCTCTTGCACTCCCCAAACCACACAAAGCAGAGGTCAGAACGTCCCATGGTTTGCAATAGTGTTACTTAACCTCTGCCTGTTTTAGGTCTCTGTAAAAAGAAGTATAAATAGAATTATGTACTAAACCTTGTAAGTGTATTTTCAGGATTCATTACTTCATGTTTGGAAATGTAATGATGATAAAGGGTGTTTTCATGTGGTTGCTAACTGGATATAATAATTCATAATATACACGCAGGTCTTATAGATGTTTTGTCAAAAGCTTCAACCTTTATTTTTCATTAAATAGGTAATTTCTAGTGTCAACAGTTTGCTACCTCTGCTCTATACATTCTATAGCGTATATTTTTCAAGAAATTTCAAAGTCTTGTGTAGTCATTATTTGCAATTCTTATTTTGGCTGCTAGAACAGCAGTAGAATTCAACAACTCCATCACTCCTAGCCATTTGTCATCAGTTAGTCACTAATGCATGAATGCATAACTCTGTACACTCGCAAAGATCTTTGGGGCTTTAGCAAAAAAAGCATTCACAATGCCAGCATTTCCCATTACTAACTTTTCTTTCAAGAAGTTTTAATTTTGTGATAGGAGCTCCCCTAACACTGAAACCTGACCTTGCAGGCAATGCCCCTGGCATTTGCTCATGCTCTCCAGAAGGATATTTGCTAGCATTTATACATACTTTAACCCTATTTAAAAATAATTGGAGTAGCTTACATGTTTTTGTAACTTTTCTAAAATCATATAGAACATATATAGAATGTACCATAGCCTAGCTTAAAACAGGACTTAAGAAAAAATAACAAAACTTATTTAACCATTAAAATCTTACTCAGTTCTGTAAATTTTCTCTGACTTTTCAATTAATTAATTATAGAGCTCCATATGCAAACACAAATCCCTGAGGAGTCCTGCCACATCACTTTCTGTATCTTTTTTTGCCCCCGTTTTACTGCCAAGAAAAATACTGGCCAGACTGATCCAATGGTGGCCGATGGGCTAGATCTGGCCCATAGAATTAGTCCGTATCACCCACTGTCTTCTTCCTGGAGAAGACAGGGAGCAGCTTCTCAGTTCTTCAACAATTACTCCTTTTTTTCTCTTGTTCAGTGGCAGTAAGTGGTCAAACACTAGAACAGGTTGCGGAGTCTCCACAGTTGGAATTACTTGGAACTGAAGAAGATGCAGCTCTGAGCAACCTGCTGTAGTTGACCCTGCTTTGAGCAGGACTACACAGTCTCCAGGGGTTCCTTTGTACCTCAGCCATTCTGCATGAGTAGCCGCAGCACAGCTCTCTCTGTAGGAGGAAGATGAGTAGAGCCAGGGGGTGGGGGAAGAGTTTCTGTGGCTGCAGTACGGAAGCAGAAGTGGGTAAAGGCCCTGCAGGAGACCCCCAAACCTTGACCTATGCTCTGCAAGTACAGATGATAGGATGGTTCAAAATTACTGTACATAGTTTTTTTAAAGTCACATTTGTGAAATTTATTTGCCTGGTTTTAGGCACCCAATCTGAACGCTGTGGTCTGAGGGGCCAGTTTCACACGTCAGTGAATACTGGCAATGGAACAAAGCTGCTCCTAGCGTGTATCCTTGCTGTAACACATTTTTCCAAATAACCTGTATGTAAGAAGCTTGTCAGCAAATAATATGAGATCAACAATAGCTTAAATTTCCTGAGAGCAATGTTAAAACATGACAGAATGTTAGAGTACAGATTGAGCATCTGTCACAGAAAAAACATGGAGCATTTGTTTAAAGCTGGGAGTATATGCAAGAACTACCTCATGGCTGATCTGCTTTGTGTTAAGTTTTAAGATAATCTATATATACAATAAACATGAAAACATTCTAATGAACAATGTTTCTGGTGCTCATTATCACTTTTGTTTGCAGAATGATGAACATTCAATCTTGTTCCCATAAACTCTGCATTGTAAATATAACAGACCTATTAGTTGTCTAGTCAAATTCCAGAAGGGAATTAGTACTAGTTTTGTTTATTTGAATTCTCTTTGAATACATAATGTGTGTGCTCCATCTTCAGTTTTATTACATTTTCAGTGGTGAAAGGGAAGCTGACAGATTCAGGAATGGGTTAGAAAAGTGAAGACAAAATAATAGAAATTGCAGTCATGCCTAAAAAGGATTATATTCTTGAAGCCAAAAATAGTTCTGTTTCACCACCAAGTGGAGATACCTCTTTCTCAGCAAGACACTGGGCAGATTTAACTATAGATACGGAACCTGGCGTTGTTCCATTGCTGCAGAGACAACGTTAGTAATGACAGAATCAGTCGGCTCACTGAGAGCACATAGTTAGTTTCTCAAGAAGTGAAAGATCTCAGCACATACGTACAATACTAACATGACAATGACTCTGAAAGAAACTGCAAGGAAAACATTGGTTTCCGTTGCAGAAAACACGGTTTTAGATTGTAAAACCACAATATGTTATTTCTCTGGTAAATGCTAATGTGCTATGGCTTCACAACTTTTTTAAAAAGCATTCTGGAAAACCTTCTAAGCAATGTATTACTTTTTTTTTTTAAGGCTGTTGCCCTGAATAATCTGCCTGCTTTGTAACGAACGCTACCACTTGCATGGATATTTCCAGGATTTTCATGTTGCTCTGAAATCATCTTGAGATTGTGACAGTTGCCTTTCAGAGCCTTGTTACTGCCTGGTAAAGCTGGTACTCGTCCAGGCATTGACACACTACCGAACAGCTGAATGCGTTGGTGTGAGTTTCTTCTCCCATAATGGCATTAAAAATTTAGAGTATGGATCAAGTGATTTTGGTGATATTAAAATGCTTATATAGCAGCATATTTTTTACTGTAATATTCAATAAATAAAATCAAGGTAGTTCTGTGTTAGAAATGACACCTTCTGCAGAAATCAAAGTTGTACTACACACTGACAGATTCAAAGCAGAGGGAGAAGTGAGGCAACTCTCAGATCAGTATTCTTAGAGCTATGGTACAGCCAAGAGCAGAATTTTGCCCTTACTGGGGAATAAATCAGGGCAACATGTGGAACCAGGGGGAAGAGCAACCATTACAGTTCCAAGTAGATGAAATCTAACTCTGAATTCACACAGGGAGGCTAACATCCCAGTGATCCATCTGGCAAGTGACAGTAATGAGTATTACGCACAACAATTGCAGATTACTCAGGCATGGCTGTGGATTTACATGCAATACAATGGAGCTGGCATTCACGTTTTCCCAGTGCTTTTTGTAAAGCCCTGTATTAACTTGTATATAACTGAGACAGTCTTCTAACTGAGCCAGTGTTTTCTCTGTCAGGTCTCTTGCCTGCAACATGTTTATGTTAAAAGGAACACAGTAACCCATTTGGAAATATCTATAGTCTTTATAGTAGCACCTTAAAACTGTAGTGTGGACTCATCCTCCTCAGGTTTAGGCTACTACCAGCCCAATTTCACGACTTCAGTGCTGAGGCAGAGAGCACTAAGGTCCAGAGCCATAGAATATTTGGGTCTGTTTACTTCACATCAGAACAGCAGGAACCTTGTAGAAAGCTGTAACCACTTTCCACAGATGTAAATGGCAGCAGAATGTGCAGGACAATTAAATATTAGGAGTTTTTAATTAACTTTCTAATTTTCTCTTTATTTAGATATATGTGCCCTTTTGAAAGTCCCTGCTGATCAGATAAAAGTCTTACACCAAAATGTTCATGATAACACTCTTACTTTTGTGAAATATGAGTATTTGGTAAACATTAGATAATGTTATAACAGCACAGTACCGCAATACAGAAACTTACGTTAAGCAATCCTTCATAGCTGAAATCTGCAATAACGTGTATGTACACATATGTCAAGCAGCTTAGGAGTAATATGCGTGACAAGTTTGTACTGTTCAGTTCCTTAATATTTTAATAATTTTTTCTTCATGTTAAATACAGAAAGATATGTAAAAGTCTTCTCTAAATCCAGCTTAATACTGTGGACACTTGAAATCAAGCTTTCTCTTATTTGTAGATGGGCTGGTGATGTTTGAGATCACCTGCCTTCCTCTCCCCTGGACAGGGCCTTCGTCTGCGACTTCTCAGTCAAAAGTTCTGGGTTGTCTGAAGAAGTCGCAGTCATCATCTGTGCAGTAGTTTTCAGAGAAAACATAATTTGAGGGATATACCAACAGGGAGCTGTGAGGAAGTGAATTAGAACAAACTCCATTTGTTAATCCTATTTACCACACAAATTCTTAGTTGTGCATTAGGGTTATAATACACATAAAATCATTAAAATAATTAAGGCTCTGTCCATATTCTAATTTGGAAATAGAAACAGATCTGAGACTCACTTTTGTAATGTTGTTTCCTTTCTGTTTGCAGAAGTATTGTCAGCCATCATTAGTGTATTGCTGGTCTATATCCTTATGGCATTCCTCTTGTATGAAGCTGTTCAAAGAACTATCCATATGGACTATGAAATAAATGGCGATATCATGCTGATTACAGCAGCCGTTGGTGTTGCAGTTAACTTAATGTAAGATCTCCCTTTCTCTCCATTAACACTCGTAAATGTATTGCTGAATAAGCTGCTAATTCATTCATGGCCTGTAACTTTCTCATGGGATGTAATTTTGCTGGACCTCTTTATTTTCATAAATAAGGCAAGAAATGATACTGAGTATTACTTTTCAATTCTTTGGTTTAAAAGGAAGGAAAAAGAAAAATAGCAAAAAAACCACCCACCAAACCCTAAAGCCTGTTTCTTGGAGTGTTTTTCTTCTTTCCCTTCCAGAATGGGCTTTTTGCTGAACCAATCTGGCCACCTTCACTCCCACTCCCATTCCCATCCTCACTCTCACGTACCTCAGTCCAACTCTCCTAACACAGCCCACAGCAGCAGCCATGGACACAGCAGCCTTGCCGTGAGAGCAGCGTTTGTACATGCCCTTGGGGACCTGGTACAAAGTATTGGTGTGCTCGTAGCTGCATACATCATACGCTTTAAGGTAAGGGATGGCTACTCTTTAAGGCAGGGTGAAATGTTTTAAATTTCCACACTGCTGATTTAAGTTAAACGGACTCATTTTTGTAAGTTATGAAAAAAAATACTTTGTGATATTCTATTATAAGCTTCATATATTCATGCAAAATAAGCAAATACTATCTCTATTATGTATTTTGTAACTATTCAAACAAAAAGAAATATTCATGAAAGTTTGATCTAGAAGTAACTGCACATCTTTGTAAGTGAGCTTATTTTCATACATCCTTTTACACTTTGGAACTTCCCTTGCAGCCAGAATACAAGATTGCTGATCCTATATGTACATATGTATTCTCCATACTGGTGGTTTTGACAACAGTTCGAATTCTGTGCGACACAGGAGTTATTATTCTGGAAGGTAAGATCTGTGCACAGTCTGCAGTACTTTACATGTCAAATACCAGCGAGCATTGGCACTTTTTTGACATCATGATCACCTTCTCTGACAAAGTGGATTGTGTCTGGAGATCTGTTATCCTGCTGGTGCTTTAGTCTGTTGGTCCTTGATGGCTCATTTAAGTTGCAGCGGTCTTTAGGTATCTGACCTCTGCATTGTAACGTACAGAATTTTCTTGTGTGTCTGCAGTGGCTGTCAGCTAAACTAAGTGAACGTGTTCCCAGACTCAGTTCTACACTTCCCCTTTTAATTACTGTAAAGTTACAGGGAATGTGAATGCACGTAAAAGGAGGAAGCAAGCTTAGGCCAAATGGCTGGACATGTGGTTCATGCCTGTCCTGTCTTCGCCTTTTCCACAAGTGCTGTTGTATTACTTGTGTGCTTCTACTGTTACAATAGGGGAAGCTACAAGTAAAGCGTTGTATAAAAGGGAAGAAGGGGAAAAAAAGGGAAAGAAAAAGCTGAACATAAGCTGAAGAATCTTATCTTATGTGGTGTTAAGAGGGAAAGATGCCAGCAACATTCTTTGTGTTCTTATAACTAACATGCCAACTATTAGTGCTTGATCTAGTACTTTTATCTTATGAAAGTGAACATGTTAGGGATGGGAGAAAAATGCTAGGTTTTAGCTGCACCTTCTTAAGCTGTCTCGTGAGCTATTATTGACTTGACTTTTATTATGTTATGAAGTTAAATCAAGGACTTCAAAATCTTGAATGTCAAGTGCTTTTGCTGTCATTTAGGAGGGGGACAAAACCCAAACAAAACAGAAGTTCACTGCGAAGGCAAAACTGGTGAAATTTGCTTAAGAAACCTCAATTAGCTCCAAGGCAATAGCTAAGATTTAGCTGAAGAAAACAGATAAGATAAACTAATGGTGTATCAGATTCTGGATGTTTGAGTTGTAGCTGTTTGTATAGTTATCCTGGTAGTCATAAAAATCTCTGAATTAATGATGTTATTAAAAGTGATGATAGGTGGGCTTTACGTATGCTAGGGAATTCTTCCAACTCAAAATCTGAATCTCCAGAGAACGGACTTGCATTTATATTAGAGACTACTGCTACAACATCAGGGTCCTTGGAATTGTACCAGCTTTCAGTATTCATTTTGACTTAAGTTTCATCATTATACTAGGAATGCTAAATTAAAAACTTAAGTGACTATCTAATACAAGCAATTTGATTCTAGCTTTTAATACAGATTTATAAGGCATCATGGAAGTCTATCAATAGCACGATGTGAGATACCAAAATATAAGTCCGTGTTCCCTGGAAAAATGAAAGCTCTAGAAATAATACCAGGCAGTTAGCTAGTTATTTATCAGCTAAATAATTTTTTGTTAAGTCTTCACTAGAAGAAAAATTTTAATATGTCCTAGACACTGAGCTTTCAAAAGAGATGGTACTGGAACTAACACAATCTAAAATACAGTAAGGCATCAAGTTAAGAGAGGAGTCTTCCAAATACTCTGAGGAAATTTGATAAGCAAGTGGCTGAACTCCTGATAGTATATATAATCAAACTCCGTAAAACTGGAAGATAAGCAGTAAAAATCTATGACAGAAACAAAACTATTCAGAAACAGAGTTTATTCAGTACTTTTGTACTAGTTTTTAAGCCCATGTTGATAATCTAAAATTTTGATTCTGCCCTTTGCACAGCTAAGGTGGAGTAGGGAAGCTATAGAGGTGCTGTAGCTGCTGAAACTACTACGTCCAGAGGAGTTTGGTCAGAGCGATCACTGTCTTGCACAGATGCCACGCTGTAAGACAGAAGTCATACGTGTTAGCCACTGCATATATATTCATAGAGTCATAGAATGGTTTGGTTTGGAAGGGACCTCAAAGATGATGTAGTTCCAACCCCCTTGCCGTGGGCAGGGACAGTTACCTGAAGAGAGAAGTTTCAGGACACAGCTGGAGACAGGCCCTAGCCATTTCTTTTTAGATTCTGACCTTAGAGTCTGGTCTATGCAGTTACTAGGGGTTAGAAGCTGCAGCAAAGTTGTCTACACAAATACATTGCTGTAAAGGATCTAATGATGGCTATTGCTGGAGAGTGGATTCTGGACAGGACAAATTACATTTTAGACAACACTGCAATGCCTGTAGAACTACTGTATCCATACTGGACTTAATATGCCAATTTGCATATTCTTCTCTATTGATATCTTCGAAGTACTAATCACTTCCAACAGCACAAATTGTAAACTCTTTTGACATTGAGATCTGTCATGATATTTTAAAGGCCACTGAGAGTTTGCAGAAGACAGAATTAATTTTACCTCATGTTTGGTATCACAGGAGTTCCAAGGCATTTAAACGTGGATCGCATTAAGGAAGACTTGATGAAAATTGAAGATGTTTATTCCATAGAAGATTTAAATGTTTGGTCTCTCACTGCAGGAAAAACAACTGCCATAGTCCACCTGCAACTAGGTAAGCTGCTGTATAGCGTAATTCTAGATTAAATCTAAGTGTAGAAGAAAACCTCACTTTCTCTTCTTCATATTGTTATTGAAGTTGAACCAGGAAATACCATTCTGGGAAAAAAAAAATAATCTACTAACTATGGTTTTGTACTGTGAGGTATAGAGCCCGTTGGCCCAGAAGGACACAGTGTAAATGAAAATTGTGCAAAGAGAATATATTCATACTGAAACATCCAGTACAGATTCTTTGGGCAGAAAAAAAAAAAAAAGGATTTCTCCTCAGAAAGACAGGTGAAGTTCTAATGTGGATCAGTCCGAGATATGAAAAATAAGTATCTTTTGCCAAAACTTGTGCTGATTTAGACATCTAACAGTACCATGAATATTAATTCTTAGTAAGAAAGCTCAATTTCTTATTTTTTTGGGGGAGGAGGATGGGCGCGAGGAAGGGTAGGGGGTGGTGTCTAACACACAGTTTTATGAAGATGTGATTCTAGTTACATACAGACCTAAAGGTGTAAAATAATATCTAGAGAGCATATAGTGACTACAGAACAATATTAAATTAATAGATGAGTGTGAACAAAGATTATTCTAGTTGTTAACACTGTGATAAATTTGACAAGGGCTGGATTGTCCAGGTTTCTTGAGGAGTGAATTCTATCAATTATTTTCTTGATTTTCCAGTTCCTGGTAGTTCATCTAAATGGGAGGAAGTTCAGTCCAAGGCCCGACAACTGCTGCTGAACACATTTGGAATGTACAAGTGCTCTGTCCAGCTTCAGAGTTACAAACAGGAAATGAGTAAAACCTGCGCAAGTTGTCAGAGTTCCAGTGCCTAATCTCATATGTTTTGGGAACTGCTGCCTTATTCTTTATCTCGTAGTCAAAGACTGAGAGCAATAAATGCAAAATGAAAATGATCAACTAGAAACCATTAATATGTGGATTTGTACCATGTAACATGCAGCAGGGAGAACTGGTGCTGCAAAAAGTGCAGTGGTTGCCCTACAGAATATGTATTTCGCACTCTCCCTTGTACTGGTTTATTCAATTTATGATGATTTTGAGACAAAGCTGTTTTCAGATCGTTGTTTACAAACTGCATCATGGCTCTGCAGATACCTCACAAATTACAGTCCAATAATGTCTTTTAATAACTATGTACCACAAAGTACCTGCACTCCGAATGGAGCATCAAGTATTCAGTATTTCAGTTAAAGTCTCCAATGCTGATCATGCCAGGGTTCTGTAATATGTCATGATCCCTGAATTCATTTTACAGTATTTTTGCAATAGTAATTTTCATACAGTATCTTAAACTATAACACATACAGTGCTAGTTGAATTCTTTTGGAAACTGTCTCTTTGGAGACACTGCAAAATACAGAATTTACGTACTCAGACCAGAAAGTTAGCTTTAATCTGGGCATTCAGAGATCCAGACAGGAAGATCCTTGCCCAGACTTCTGGTATTTAACTAGAGATCCAACACTGGACCCAAAGTGTTTTAAGTGATCAGTTATCTTTAATGTATTTTAGAATAGGGTTTATACACTAGAACAGGTTATTTATTTTACAAAGTTTTGACTTGTAAGATGAATTTATTAATAATCTTGAATGTCTAAATGAACACTTGATTCACATTAAAAGGCCAGTTGATTAGCATGCATTCTAGTTATAATTAATACATGTCCTGTAATTGATCATTTTTCCATTATTGTTTTGTTTTAAAAGAAAAATCATGATAGAAACTATGCTTGACATGGAGATACTCTCAAACACAATCTACAGATATGCAAAATACGTCTTCTAACAGGAAAGTGGGAAGCAGAAGTTTTAGATAAGTACTATTCCCTCAGTCACAGATTTCTGACCTTTTTGTCTTTGCTTTGAGCACAATCTGGCAGTATCTGGACAGGAATGCTACTGCAATAGCAGTCTCTCACTACTTAGCTTTATGAATAAAGCAAAATCCAAGCAAGCTCAGAAACCTAATGTGTTGGACAACAATATCATAACAACCTGCAGAGGTACAAAGGCCTTTTCTAACTTACAGAGGGATGAGGCAATTTGGTAAGACTATTCATCCTCAAAGTCCACAAAACTGAATTGCTTAGCCTCATGGTGGAATCCCTGTTCTTTGAATGTATACAGGATAATAAAACTGGACACTAAGCTATCATGCACCTCCAAGCTAAGATTTACGCCTGCTTCTGAAGTCATTTGCATTGAAGAAGCTAAGGGCAACAGGAATATGACCTACAAAGTTCAGAAGACGATAAGAGCTTGGCTTCAAATATTTTTTCATATTCTGTACTTTGATTTTTATGCAGAACTTCCATTGACATCAAAAGTAGTTCTGTATGTGGATCAGAAAGGAAAATTTTTGCCCAGTAACGGATATTGTGATATTCAGCTGTCAATACTTAAGCTATTGTCTGTTTTGAAACTTGCTAGGGTTTCTCATATTCATCAGGCTGATTTATACCTGCAATTGGTGGTAACAATCTTGTCCTATTTTCCTTTTTTTTTTTTTTTTTTTTTGAGGTAGGAGTCACATCGTTAAGTTTTTGGAGGTGAAACTGACAGCACAGTATTAATTTGGAAAAAGTGTATGAGACTGGATTATGTTTGTATCTGTTCGGGCAGGAAATGGGAATGTTTGAGTACAGCACAGGAGCACATACGGCTCAGAGGCAAAGTAGTGCCGTACTTGGGAAATTAATGTTTCAATACAAACACTGTCATTAATTAAGCCATATCACAGTTCACGAAAAATGTGCATCCCATCCTACAAACTTAATGGAAAAAAAAATACCACAAACAACAGGTATTTTGCACATACTAATACTCAAACTGGGGTTTACAGTTGCTGTAATTAGAAGTTGAAGTACAGTAGATATATGTATTGTATTTGGAGTTTTTTATTGTAATAATTTACTACACATTTGTTTAATTGAAGAAAAAAGCAGAAATGTGTTGCTTTATTGTGGGTTTTATTAAATCAATTATTAAACTTCACATCGTTGTCTTATAAAATATTTATTTGTATTGCTGTCTGTTGTCATCATCTTTGATTCTTACAGCAGCTGTTTTCTGAAGCATCTGCACACTCAAGCTTAACTCAGTTTGCAGGTGCTATATATGGAATGAATTGTGTCTCCTTCTTCAGTCAGAATTTATTTCCTGTGCAATAATTGCACTTCAGAAAATATAAGCTGACAAATTATAATGAAGGAGCAGCCATAAAACTGGCAAAACATTCTTGAAACCCTGCATTCACCCTTGAGGGGCCCTTGTTATCAAGGCCTACAGACTGGAAGGAGTTCAGAGAAAAAGCAATGGAAGATGAAAGGAGAATAAAAAGAATAAAAGAATGCATCTGTCTCAGGGAGACTCTGAAGTGTACATGCCCTGTTGTAAGATCTAACTAAACTCACTCAGAAATTTGTATCTGTGTGACCTACCTCTAATCCTTTTCTTACTCTTTATAAATTATTCAGGGCACAGGTTGTCAGGAACTGCTATGTTTAATGTAAGAATGCAGTATTCTTCTGAATCTGCTGTTAATCAACATCAAAAGGAATATGCATATTATCACTTCTAGTACTCCTTGTGATGGAATAAATGAGCACAACAGAACTATAAAAATAACCAAGTAATAAACACACTTAAAAGGATAGAGAAATATTCAGAAAATAACACTGATTTGCAAATAAACTACCAGGAATTTATGACCTAATACACGAGAACAGTACTCAGGAAGTGCAAGTGCCTATAAAAGAAGACAAGTTATTTTTACAGACGTTGCAAGGTCATTTTCAGTATCAGCTTAGAGGCAAGGAGCCTTAGTATAACTAACAGTCAGATCTAGTATCTTTCCAAGCAGCTCTCCAGCACATCCAGATTATTTCACTTACACACTCTTACACTACTCTCTTCCTTCTACAGAATCCTCTGCTTGAAATTAAAATGCATTTACTTCATGGCATTTCTCTCTCACCAAGAGACTCATAAGATTCATGCAAGTTTCCACAACTAGTGTCCCTGCTTTTCAGAGCTGTGCTGCAATACTCCTGCT